TGAGCCAGGAGCCCGATGTGGGACTCGATCCCAGGACTCCGGGATCATGACCTGAGCCGAAGGCAGTTGCTTAACCAACTGAGCCACCCAGGCGCCCGAAAATGGGAATCCTAATGTGATGATGACACAGGTGTTCTAGAGAGCAGTCTGATAGTTCCTGGTCAAATAGAGAAGGCATACATCTTGTTACCCAGTGTTCTGCCCCTGGATGCCTACCGGGAACTATATCATGCTGGTCTGCTAAAGAACATGCCCAAAGGCATTCACCTTGATGTTCATAATAAGGAGAGTTGAAGACAACCCAGATGTTTATTCCTAGGAGTGATAGAGAAGTGAAGTGGCGGGATGCATACTACAGAATACCAAACCTAAGTTAGAAGCGATGATTATACATATGACAACATAGATGGTTGAAAGAAAAAAGTAAAACTACAGAATGCAATCTGAAGCACAATGCCATGTATGGAAATACCCAAGGACATAAATGAGACACATTAATTGGTGCCTTTGATAAGGGAGGAACAAGAGTGAAAATTAGAGAACAAAGGAATGAAATGAACACAAAATAAAAATTGACCATACATGAATTGATTATGACAGTCTGCAGCTCTGTGCCGGAGATACAAAATAAAGAAAACAAAGATACAAAATCAAGGAAATAGGAGGCAAGGTCATCAGATGAGCTTTGGGAATGGGGGAAAGACGAAGAGAGTTTGGAAGGCCTGGAAAGAGAATAAATGGCATGAAATCAGTATCTCTTGTAGATTCAGAAAGTGAACTTACTGAAAAACCTGATGGAGTTACTGGGTCCATTAGAGGCTTGCAGTCATGAATTCTAAGTGAAACCAGTAAGCCTGCTTCCCTGATTCTCCATCATTGTACAGCTTCTCAGGCAGAGGTGCAGAAAAAAGACAAAAGAAAGAGAACTGCTGCTGTTTTTAAGAGAAGCGAGATTTGGGTGTGTTTAAAAGCTGATAGGAATGTACCAGTAGAGACAGGGAGGTTGAAGATATTGGAGAAAGAAGGGGTAAGACATGGAAAAGATTGGGAATAATTGTGCCTGCCCCCCGACCCCAGCACAGCACCTTTTCCTCCGAGGTAGTAGGGAAGGATGAGTGGATGGAGGTAAGCTGATAAGTGGGAAAGGGCCAGGATTTGAGGGAATCCCCACCCCAGCCTTCGTCCTCCTTGTGAATGGACCTAAAATCCGTGCACCTCATTGAATTTCCCAGCCATCATTCCTCATTCGGGTGTCCCAGCGATAATGCCCCCGGTTACAGAACATGTGGAACCCACACAACCATTGTAGCAGAATACATTTTCATTTCAAATCATTCACCCAGCTCTCACTCCTGCCGGTGACAGAGCAACACCATCTCTCTGGAGAGAAATTTGGCATACCTATCAAGGTCTTTAGAATTTAGAAAGACCTTTCCCCCCAGTATTCTACTTGTAGAAATGTATCTGTTGTGTCAGTCCCAGCCTGCTGATAGTGATGCTATTGGCTAGGGATGCCGGAGGCACTTGCCCAGACCCATTCTACTCCTAGCAAACCCCAGACGTTTCTCCCACCAGGGCCAGTGATGTGGCTGGACCGGACCTTTTGTTTCTTACTATGATACTTCGGCGAAAAACATCAGGGAACTTTGGGGGACATGATTTATTACTCACAGGCTCTGGAGGGTACACAGCGCACGTTAGGGCCACACTGTGAGGTCATGGTGGGGAGCATGGGGCGTTGCCTTTATGAGGCTGTAAGGGTGGGATGTCTAGGGTTTTGTGGGTTCACTCTTTATTGGCTAATTTAAAGCCTAAGAGTGGGATTGAGAGCACAGGAAGGGAGAAGTGGGAGCAATCAAGCAGTCATTATCTAAATTATCCAGGGCATTCTGAGAAAGGGACCTCCATGGGTGGGGGCAGTCTACTTCCTTACCTGGTGGTTTTGCCAGCAGCTGACAGTATGTTTATTCAAGATGGATGTCTTTTGAAATGGATGCCTACACATTCAAAAGCTTAGTGTTGTACACTCACACTGCAGGATCTAAGGAAGTAATCAGAGAGGTACACAGACGTACATGCAAGGATGTTTAGTCTAGTGTTACTCCTCAATAACAACAAAAAAATGGAGGGGCGCCTGGGTGGCTTGGTCATCGGCGTCTACCTTCGGCTCTGGTCGTGGTCCTAGGATCCTGGGATCGAGCCCCACATCAGGCTTCCTGCTCGGCGGGAGGCCTGCTTCTCCCTCTCCTGCTCCCCACTGCTTGTGTTCCCGCTCTCGCTGTGTCTTTCTCTGTCAAATAAACAAATAAAATCTTAAAAAAATAAATGGAATCCACTGAAATGTTCCCACAGTAGAAGAATGGTATATCTATATTAAATTCTGGTATATCTATAGAATAAAATATTTTATCGCCATTAAGATAATGTTTCAAAATAAGAGTAGCATTGGAAAACATGCATGATATTAAAGCAGTCTTCCTACAGCCTGATTCCTGTGCACCCAGGCTAACGAATGTTCAGGGTAGTACTGAGAGCTGAAGTGCACAGCCAGCCTTTTGCTCACTCTGCCAGATCTCACTCTGTGATTTCTCCAGGGGGAGCCCGCTCACTTCGAGTATCTGATGTACCCCTTGCACTCGGCATCCATCACCGGTCTAGCTACGTGCATTCGTAAACCCCTCATTGCCACCTGTTCTCTGGATCGATCCGTTCGCATCTGGAATTATGAATCAAAGTAAGGATGAAAGGCTTTGGTACTGTAGTAGGCAAGATTTCGGTTGTTAAATTTGTTCATGTGAATTATTTTAATTAGAGAGTTTTAAAATGTAATTACTTAGAAGCTTTCAGTTGGAAAAGATTTTTTTTTAAGATTTTATTCATTTATTTGAGAGAGAGAGCACAAGTGGGAGGAGGGGCAGAGGCAGAGAGAGAAGCAGGCTCCACACTGAGCAGGGAGCCCAAAGCAGGGCTCAATCCCAGGACCCTGGGATCATGATTGGGGCTGAAAGCAGTTGCTCGACCAACTGAGCCATCTGGGCGCCCCGGAAAAGTTTTTTTTTTTTTTAAATCAAGCCAGGCAACTTACATGTTTCTCTTCTCTTTTTTGCTCGTGCTTGGCCTAGAAAATTGCTTTGTGTTTCATTAAGTGCTTACCACATGCCAAACACCATGCTGGACTCTAGGGACATAAAGATAACACTGCAGTATCTCACCTTCTCATATAACCTCCTATGTTCTTCCAGTTTTCCCATCCCCTCACTCCCACTAGATGTGTTTTTCACCATACGGAGCTCTCCAGACCACTCATTCCATCTATTTCTCCTTCTCCCCAGCCACCCTTAACTCCCTAGTAAATTTATCCTCCTGGCATAGATTCCCTGAGAATCTCCAACCTAGTTTGGCCCCACACCAGAATATCTTTGGTCTTTGTATATAGCTGCTGGGCTGCTGAAAAGAAACTGTGTGATCCTTCTGATTTGGGGATTCTAAATGGAGCCGTGCCTTCAGCATCACTAGACAGCTCATTGATCACTTCCCCTATCTTCCATACTCATTGCTGGACACTCTCAAATAACCAAAGTCCAGAAAAAAGAGGAACCAATCATTTTAAGCAATAAAGTATCTCAAATGCTATGACAAAAGTATTTGCCAGATACAGTGGAGGGCTCAAGGGAATTAGCAGGCTGGACTTCTAATTCAGTAATCGATCTCTCTCACAGCACACTGGAGCTATTTAAGGAATACCAGGAAGAGGCATATACAATCAGCCTTCACCCGTCTGGACACTTCATTGTAGTAGGGTTTGCTGACAAACTACGCCTTATGAATCTACTCATTGATGACATACGTTCTTTCAAAGAATACTCTGTCAGAGGATGCAGGGAGGTAAGATGCTGGAGATAAAGGTCCAGTTTCTTAGAAAACGAGGGTTGAAATATCAAGAACTAACACACTCTGGCGAGGTGAGACCAAAGCCTATCTTAGAGAACTTCAGTGGCTTTAAAAGAAAAAGGAAGAAATCCAGGTCTTCTCTCACTTCTTGAGCATATGGCTCCATCTCATTTTTCTCATGCTCATCAAGATATTTCATTGAACCCCAAACCTTGTGAGATCCCAGGTGTGATTAATCATCTCTGTGATTGCAGAGGAACAAAAAAGCATCAAAAAGGAAAGTTGTCTCAGACTCAGGGTCCCAGCTGGAAAGGTGAGGTTGGAGACTGAGAGGGGCCAAGGAATATGCACGTTAACAGGGAGAGGCAGGAAGCAGCCCATCACATTTCCCCCTGAGATGACCGCAGAAACCAAACAGTGACTGAAGGAATTGCTTCCCCACTCTGAAACCTCTACAGAGACGAGTGAGTGCTGTGCTCTACCATCTAAGCAGCTTCATGGTCAGTGCACCTGGCAGTGGCGGCATCTTGGCCAGTGTGAGCTACAGGAATAGCGAAGATGTCAGCCAGTCCTCAGTCCTATCTGCGCCTTCCCCCAATTCCCACTTCCACACCTGTTTTAGCTGGAACTCTTTAGGAAAAGGAGCTCTTGACTGTAACCTCCAGACTGCTCATTTCTTTCTTTCATTCTTGCTGTCTTGTTTTGCTTCTTTATAGTGTTCCTTTAGCAATGGGGGTCACCTGTTTGCTGCGGTCAATGGAAATGTGATTCACATTTTTACCACCACAAGCCTGGAGAACATCTCAAACCTGAAAGGACACACAGGGAAGGTAAGTGAGTGAGCAGTGTCCAGGGAAATAAGGGCCACAGAGTCAAGCATTACACTCACCGAGTGCACAAAAGAGAAATGAGTCCTTTCTTCCTGGAGTTCACTGTTTACGTGGGGGAAAGAGACAATAAAACAAAAGCACAGACTAATTACTAATTGCAGTAAATGCAGTGAAAGAAAAACATGGGGTGTTAGAGTAAATAATGAAAGAGTTAGCATAATTTAGATTGGGGTGTTCACAAAGGCTGGGTCCTAAAGGAGTAGGAAGGAATTAACCAGACAGAGCTGGTGGAGATCATCATTGCAGATAAGAATCCAAAGACCCTGGGATGTGAGATTGCATGGCTGTCAGAGGAACTGAAAGTCTGTGGGACTGGAACATAGATATCAGAATGAAACTCAGGAGCGAGCTGAGATTGGTGAGGTTAGCAGGGGCCCAAGTGCATGGAAACTTGCAGGCCTTTTAAAGATAAAAAAGATAAAGATGGTCTTTCTCCTCCTTGTTTCTTGAAACCATTGAAGACTTTCAGGGCAGGGAATAATACGACCAGATTTGCATTTTAGATTACTTTGGCTGCAGAAAGAAGAATGTATTGAAAGGGACGGGATGGAAATGGTAAAGAGAATATTGTGGATATCTACACTATTTTGGACCATGATGGAGGTGGGACAGATGGGGAAAGGTAGGTGGATTCAAAAGATATTTAGGCAGCAAAACCAATAGTTTTTAGACAGAGTGAAGGTGGGGCATGAAGCGAAGGGAGGGGCCAAAGGTTGAAAGACTAAGAAGAAGTCGGCAAAAGAATTTGGAGAGAAAAAGCACTTGAGAAAGAAAGGCATTTTAGGCAGAAGGACTTGTTAAAGATGATGGGAGTATAAAATAGGGTAGTGGTTTGGGATATACATGGCTGGAACATTGGGCACATTCCAGAAGTGGCAGAAGGAGCTGGTAAACAAAAAATAATGGAACTTCTCATTTTATTTATTAAAAATCTTATGCAAGATATTTAAGAAAACCTACAATAAACAGCCCACTTGATCATAAGATTATGAAAGCATTCCTTCTGAGATAGAGAATGAAACATGATGCCTTCTGTTAGCCTTATACTGAGTCCTAACCAATGCAATAAGGCAAGAAAAGGAAATACGTCTTAGTTCATGAGGCTCCTATAACAAAATAGCACAGACTGGGTAGCTCATAAACAGCAGAAATTTTCCCTCACAGTTTGGAGGGTGGGCAGCACAAGATCCAGGTGCCAGCATGGGTAGGTGAGGGCCTTCTTCCTGGTTGCAGATTTCTCATATCCTCACAGGGTGGAAGGGGTGACCTAGCTCTCTGGGGCCTCTTTCATAAGGGCACTAATCCCATTCATGAGGGCTCTACCCTCAATGATCTAATCACCTCCCAAAGGCCCTATACCTCCTAATACCATCATCTTCGGTGGTTAGGATTTCAACATATGAACCATAGGGGAGGTGGGATGGGAGGTAAAAGACATAAATATTCAAACCATAGCAAAATAAAAGGCATAAAGATTGGAAAGGAATAAATAAATCATCACAGATAACATGATTGAGTATGTAGGAAACTCAGAGAATTTTCAGATAAACTATTAAAAATAGTGAATCTAGGAATACTCCTGGAAATAATGTCACTATATTTTTTCACGTGTATTTTTACATAGTAAGAACAGACAATGCAATTTAAGTGGTGGAGAGGGAGCTGAGGAGGTGGGTAAGGATGTGCCCGACAGGGTTGGAGTCCTGGAAATACCAAAAGAGGTGGCCAGTGGGTCAGGAGGTTGGTTACTTATGAGGAGATTGAGAAAATAAGCAAATATACTGAAGATAATGGGAGGCAGGTCTCTCACTCCTGGAGAAGGGACTTACAAATATGACAAAGGGGAAAGCCTAGAAAGTTGTTTCTTTGTTTAGTGACCTGGCTGAACTAATTCTGAGAAGTCTTTCTTTCCCCTGCAGTGTGCAGCCTTGATGTCTCTGCTCAGATTTTTGTTCTTTTACTTTCCTTCTGGCTACCTGGGGGCTGCCCCTGGGTTGACCTGAGCCACTTATGAGTCACAGATTGTCCTTAGCCCCCCTGAGCCAGGTAGCCTTTCACCCTTTCCTGTTGGATTTGTGTGGCCGGGAGGCTGTTGTCACAGTGCATGGAGTTCACACTTTTTGTTCACTTGTTCAGCCAGAGATTGACTAGTAGTTTGGAGGTTCTCTCTCTGACTGTACCCAAGAGAGTGCAGCCTTAGTCATGCATACAGTCTTCCAGGCTGCCAGGAGTAAGTGTGATTTTTATCTCTAAACCTGGCTTCCTGGGAGATGCCCGTGCACCAGAGGAGATTATTATTCTGTTAGCATTTGGTCGGATGTTATGTTTAAACCCCTTGTGCCAGTGAGGCTGTGTTAAGGGATCCCTGTGCAGCTTAGGAGATGTTTTCAGGTTCTCCCCATATCCTGCTCTGATTGCTCTTGAGTGGGTGTGGCTTAGCACATGCACACAGCCCTCCCCACCCCCAGAGTTGTCTCTGTGATTGTGGAAGGGCTCTTCCTGACCGTCTCTTTCCCTTGTTCTATAAAATTCTTACGCTCTTCTATTTTGCTTATATCGTGGACATACCAGCCTTCTCTTAATTGCTCTCCACCAATATCTCCATCATTTAGACAGTGCCCAGAGGGTGGACTTCTTCATGCCGTGTTCCAAATAAAGTCAGTTTTGTGCTTGCTGAAGGGCACGCACCAGGAAAGGACATGCTGCCTCAGTCTAGTGGAACACGTGAGGAGTGCACCCTCCTTTCCCGAAGGAGGGGTGTGTGTGTGTGTGCGCGTGCATGCATATTTTTGCTGAGTATGTCTTCATCCCCTGTAGGTTCGTTCAGTTGTGTGGAATGCGGACGACAGCAAACTAATTTCTTGCGGCACAGATGGTGCCGTATATGAATGGAATCTGTCCTCTGGAAAGAGAGAGACAGAGTGCGTGCTGAAGTCCTGCAGCTACAACTGTGTTACTGTCTCCCCTGATGCCAAAATTATCTTTGCAGTTGGATCAGACCAGACCCTCAAGGAGATTGCAGACTCTTCGGTGAGTCGGCCGGGCCCCACCTCCCGGCTGCTGCCTGGGTCTGCAGAAGACAGCCTCCATGTGGGCTGCAGGAAGCGTGATGGGAAGAGGGCTCGTGAGAACAGGGCCCCTTCTTCTCGGGATAACATCCCGCCCCTCATGCCTTTTGGGTCAGCTCAGTCATTGTTACGCCTGGTATTTCCTGCCCAGCGGCTTACCTGACTGGTTTAAACTGTGGGGCCCCTTTCCACTTCCGTTTTGCTGGCGGGCCCTAAGGTCTCCTCCACCCTCCAGGCCCGTCGGTCAGCAGCATCTCTAAACTGCACGCTTACCCTGGGGTAGAAACAGAACTACAGTTCCTGCTATCATCTCGGCTTGCCACCATATTTGTTTGAAACCCTCAAACTCTGAAATTTAGGAACTACCTCATTTGGCTCCAAAGAGTTGAGGGAGGAGAGAAGAGATCAGCAAGGACACTTCTTCATACAAACGTGGCTGTGTCCTTCTCTGGGCACCCAGCGACAGCTGACCTGCATTGGCTTCTCCAGCTTCTCTTGGGTGCTTGTTACCATCCTGGCGCTGGTGCCTGGGAAAGGGCACAGATACCATGGCGGCAAACTGACCTGAGACAGGTTTCCCCATGACTGGGACACAGCTGAGAGGAGGGCTTCTCTCCACTGTGCCCCTGAGTAGCTTAGTCCTAATTCTGTCGTGGCTTTTCCAGGGCTGGACCAGAACAAAGCTCCTTCAGGGCAGGCCCGCCGTTCAGCCTCTTGGTATCCCCACTAACTAGCCCGCAAACATTCAACAAGTGTTTAGTGGGAGGGGGGATGTGCGGTTGGGTGGCTAGATGGGGAGGTGAGGGAGTTAGCAAGTGAAAAATCAAATGAGTTCCCTGCTGGTAAGGTTTTCTTTATGCAAGGGACACTGGTAACTGCTGAATAACTGTAGAACCCACATCCCCTTCTGAGTTTGAGATGCAAGGTGGCACAGCGGTCAAGAGCAGAGACACTGGGGCCTGACTGCCACGTACTCAGTGGGTGAGTTGAGGCAAATTACTCACTGTCCCTGGGGTTTGGGCAACAGTAACTACCTCAAAGGGTTTTTTGTGAGGATTGAATGAGTTACAACATGTGAAAGCCATAAAATGGTACTACTTGAAGGCTTCCTTTTATTAGTGTTGCTCCTAACTCCTCGAGCTGTCTGTCCACTAATCAGGCAGCCACGAACGACTAATTCGTGTCTTTTCTGTGCTTGGCACTATGCCAGGTGCTGTAAGGAATAGGAAAACATTTTTTTCAATAGAGAACTTGCCCCCATGTTGCTCTTAGAGGAGAGGAGGGAATGACGTGGGCACCCCGGGGGCACAGCTCAGCCCCTCACCCTGAACAGAGCCGTCTGTGTCGCAGGTCCTTCGAGAGGTTTCAGCATTTGATGTCATCTACACAACCATTGTCATCTCACATTCCGGGCGCATGATGTTTGTGGGTACCTCAGTGGGGACCATTCGCGCGATGAAGTACCCACTGCCTTTGCAGAAAGAATTCAATGAGTACCAGGCCCACGCAGGTCCTATCACCAAGGTAAGAAGGGACCCTCTGCTTGGGGGCCCATGCCCAGAACTAGCCTTTGCTGGGTCCATCTGATCTTGCCGTCCACACACCTTCTTCATCCCTTCAACCCCCCAGTGGCTTTTCTCCCCTTATTCCTCTCTCCCTCTTTATTCATCCAACCACCCATTCAATGACCATTGATTGGCTACTAATACTCTTTATTTAAACTACTCCCAGGAATATATCCTAGGAGAGAATCAGAAATACATCTAAAGATTCTTGTACAAGGTTGCTCACCATAATATTATGCATGATAATGGGCCATTTAAGAGATGCTAGAGGCATCCCACCCAGATCTCCCATCCGCTGAGTGCTGTTCATGACACACATGTCTCCTCCTCCAAGGAAGTGCCTTGAACTAAAAAGAGTCAAAGCCCAGGGGATGAGCCCCTGCCCCTCCCTGAAGGTACAAAAGGCCTTCCCTCACAGAATAGCATGAGTACACATTTGTAAATTGTCCCTCCAACAACTGCAACACCTAAGGCTTTGAAGGATGTTCCAAACTGTACACTGGCTTGCCTGCAGACAATATCCTTATTAAGAAAGGATTTTTCATTACCAACTAGAACATTCCTGTACTGAGCTTGAGTCTTACACTCAAAGTAAATTTAAAAATCCCCCTCTTTTCTTCAAAGCAATGAAGTTTTATGGATAAGGTATTTATTTTTCTGATTACAAAAGCAATGCATGTCTATTTTAGAAATAAAAATCCTCGAGGTGCCTGTGTGGCTCAGGTGGTTGGGTGTCCGACTCTTGATGTCGGCTCAGGTCATGATGTCAGGGTCGTGAGGTCGAGCCCCGTGAGGAGCTCTGTGCTGGATGGGGAGCCTGCTTGAGATTCTTTCTCTCCCTCTGCCCATCCCCTACCCATTCTCACATGCCCATGCTCTCTTTCTCTCTCTCTAAAAAAAGAAAAAAATAAAAATCCTCTTAATAATATCATTAATATTTTGATGCATTTTCTCCTCTTTTGTGTACATTCTGTGTGCATTTTAAATAAATTGAGACTATACTGTATGTACTCTTTTGTAGTCTGCTTTTTTTTACTTAATGCTATTATAAACATTTTTTTTGTATAATTAAATATTCCTCAAAAACATGATGTTAGTAGCTACACAAATGTCCTATCAAATGATGGACCATAACTTATTTAATTCTTTTCTTACAACTGGGCATTTAATGATCTTCTGGATTCTAACCAGTATGCTGCTCTGCAGAGTCCCGTGGCCATCTCTGATCATCCCAAAGGCTGAGTTGCTAGACTGAGGTGAAATTCCTGCGTGGAAGAGCATTGCCATTTGTAAGGTTTTCGACACATATCGCTGATTATGAGAAGGCCTTTTTATCATTGATTCTTTTGCCTTCACTTTTTATTTTGAGATAATTATGGAGTCACAGGAAACTCGAAGAGAGCACAGAGGTCCCGTGTGCCCTTCTCCCAGTTTCCCCCAGTAGGTACATCTGTTGATGTACCTATTGGTGCGATATTGTGGAATGGTATCATACCAGAAGAACTGATGTTGGTACAATATGTGTGTGTGTGTGTTTCCATGTCATTTTATCAGGTGCATAGATTCCTGTCACCAGCACTGCAGTCAGGATATATAAGTGCTCCATGGCCACAGAGAGCCCCCTCGTGCTGCCCTAGATAGTGACAGCCACCACCCTCCCCAGTCCTGCACAAACACTCATTGGTTCTCCATTTCCATATTTGTCATTTTGAGAATTTTATATAAATAGGATCATACACTATGTGACCTTTTGACAGTGGCTTTTCTCGCCCAGCACAATACCCCTGAGCTCCATCTGAGTTATTTCACGTATCAATATTTCATTTTTTCTTACTACTGAGTAGTATTCTATGGCATGGATGCACCATAATTTGTTTAACCATCTACCTGTTGTAGGATAGTTCATTTTTTCCCAGTTTTTGGCTATTACAAATAAAGCTGCTGCGACCCATCATCCGCAGGCTTTTGTGTGGACCTTCATTTCTCCGTGATAAATGCCTAGGGGAATGATTGCTGGATCACAGGATAAGTTTATGTTTAGTTTTTTAAGAAACTGCTGAGCTGTTTTCCATTCCCACCAGCACTGCATGCAAGATCCAGTTGCCAGCATTTGGCATTGTCACTATTTTTTACTTTAGCTGTCCTAACAAGTATGTAGTAATATCTCCCCATAGTTTTAATATGCATTTCCATAGTGGCTAATAATGTTGAACATCTTTGCATGTGCTTTTTGCCATCTGTATATCCCCTTTGGTAAAACGTCTCCATATTTTTTGCCCACCTTCTAGTTGGATTGTTTGGGTTTTTTACTGCTGAGTTTTGAGAGTTCTTTTTATAATCCAGGTAATAGTTAACTCTTAAGATTCCGAATCCACAGAGGACATAAACACAGTCTTGCTTCCTCTATTCATTAACAGAAGCTTATGAGAGCTCCCTGTCTTATTCTTACCCAGGATCCAGTCTTCCTGCCTGTGAGGGTGTGCCCGCTCAGGGTTGCCTGAATGAAGACCTCGCACATAGCCAGATCAGTTCTGGTCATCCATGACCTCTGAAAGCTTCCTCTCTAAGCTCTTTTTCTCCTCAGATGTTGCTCACCTTTGATGACCAATTCTTGCTGACCGTTGCCGAGGATGGCTGCCTGTTTACCTGGAAGGTCTTTGATAAGGATGGTCGGGGAATCAAGCGAGAGAGGGAAGTGGGCTTTGCCGAAGAGGTGCTTGTTACTAAAACAGACATGGAAGAGAAGGTAAGAATCAGATCGAATGAAGAGGGACGTGGAAGTCCCTTACCAGACTGTGTCCGAACCCTTGGGATTGGCATTCGAGGCCCTGTACGCCTGGCTGCACCCAGTGCCCCACTCAGACTCCCATGCTCCCTGCACATTTCCGGCCCACACCACCATGCTGCTCTCCTCCCTGTGGCTGGATCTCTTTCCACCCTCATCCCTGCCCGCCATCCTGCCCCTGGTCATCCTGACTCCTACTCTGCTCTACATTTAGCCTGTGAACTAGCTCTCCTCCTCCCCCTCTTGGAGGGCAGGAACCATGACAAGCTGTTCTCTTGTGTGACCAGCAGTTGCTAGACACATGGAAGACAGTCGATACATATTTACAGAATGGCACTGACAAGCTGAATATGCCAGTTGTATCTGTGAAACTTAATAACTGCTTAGTGGAGCCTTATTTATTTAAAAAAATGAAGTATTTAGAAAACATCCCTGAAACCCAGTCTTCTTAATAATAAAACAATAAAAGTAATGATAACCAGCATTTTTTTTTAGATTTTCCATGAACCAGGCACTGTACTAATTACAAGTATTTTCTTGTTTAAATGTGACATCATCTCTATGAAAAAGATACTTTTATTCTCCCCATGTTTCAAGAGGTGACTTTGGAGAAGTTAAGTGACATGTTTTAGGACTAGAGTTCTGCTCTAGATTCAATCTAGAGCCTACTCTTTTAATCACTACTCCAAAGGGCCCTCCCTCCTATGAATGCATCAAACACTCTGGGAAGATGTGTTTTGAGAGTTTTGAGTGGGCAGCTAGCTCTGCACCACGCTCCCTAAGGGAGACACCGAAGGGATGGGAAACTCACAAGGCTTACAGAGAATGGCAGAGCTATGCATTCATTGCTGTTTATCCAGAATCTCGAGTGTGTTTATTGAATACCTGCGTTTGCTAGGTACTAGGGATGCATGTGTAAAAAGACAGGCCTGGGCCCTGTGATCAGGAAACTCATAGTCAAGTAGAGATGAGTAAAACCATCAGAACAGCCATGCAAAAAATGGCCCCAAAGCAGGATGATAAGACCCAGGCATTTCCAGAGATCCCTGCTAGAGCTCCATGGAACTTTCTACAGGAAAGGCAAAGTGGGAGGAAAGGATGAGGGAGAGCCTATGAGAGTCAGGGTCTGACCTACGGCAGGCAGGCAAGTATGTCTCCTCTCTTCCTTCTTCTCTCTGTTTTCTCCCCCATTCCTCCCAGAGGGTAGGGGAAGAGAGCAACTGGGAGACTTCAGGGTGTGCCAAAGGCCTGAGGTGTCCGGGCTGACTCCCAACCCAGCCCCCAGCTTGGCCTAGCAGAACTGCTGCCAAGCTGGAAGTGACTAGCATATGTTCTGCTCATTTCCTGGAGCCCCTTCTCTCTCTACATCTGTGAGACCACGCTCTTATTCCCTCTGAGCCTCTCTGTCCTTCCCAGCTCCCTCCCAGCTCTCTCTCACATTTCCAGGGACTCCTGGGTGGCTCGGTCAGTTAAGTGTCCAACTCTTGATTTCGGCTCAGGTCATGATCTCAGTGTTGTGAGATTGAGCCCCATGCCGGGCTCCACACTCAGTGGGAGTCTGCTTGGATGTTCTCTCCCTCTGCCCCTCCCTGCCTCCCACACTCGCGTGCGCTTGCTCTCTTTCTCTCTCTCTCTCTCAAATAAATAAATCTTTTTTAAAAAATTAAAAATAAAAGTCACATTTTCCAGAATTCCTGGCTCTCTTTTTCTCTTTATATTCTATGATTTTCTATGTAACTGTCTCTCAGGACATGATTTACCTACTCATTCAGTCATTCATTCATCCATCCATCCAACTAGTACTCACAGAGGGGTCTGTTATGTACCAGACACTGTACTAAGGTCTGGGATGACAGAAGTGAAAGATATGCAGGGGCCTTTAGCTTGTAGCCGGGAAGGAGGCACAGGTAAAATTAAAAAGGGAAATTAAGTGTGTTACAGGTGTTATGAAGGAATGATGCTCTGGGGTCACAGGGGAAGGGACACTGACCCAGGCCAGGTGGTGCCAGAGGAAGTGAGCCTTGGATGGAGCCTTCAGGAACAGATGGAAAAAGGTCTTCCACACCAAGGAATGAGCGTGCAGAAGGATGAGAGAGGTGCTCTGGGGAAGATGCTCCTGGCTAGGTGGGGCCAGAGAAGAGAGGGTATGTGGAGCTGGAGCTGGAGGGGGATTGTGAGGGCCTTTTACACCACGTTTTAGACTTCGGACATTGTTCCTAACGACCTGCTGAGAGATCTAAGTTAGGGAATGACTTGATGAGATTTGCATCATAGAAAGCCACCTCTGCAGCCAGGTGGAGAACAGACTGAGGGAGGGAGGGAGGAAGGATGATGAGCATGTGCCTGAAACCAGCACTCCCATCAATAAATGTATTCCACCAATCCAAGGCAGACCCCAGGGTGACCTCCTCATCTGATAAACATTCATTTAGTGCTATGTTGCTGGTTCTGCGCTAGGCACCCAGGATAAAGCATTGAAGCAAGATAGGCCAAGTGCAACCTGCAGGGAGCGCTCTTCCGAGGAGATGGTCTTCATCCACAGCCCTGTCCCCTTCACCCCACACCCAGTCAGGCACCACATTCCCTAAAATCTTGCTCTTGAATCTCTCCATTCCACTCTCCTCCCCCAACCCCCACCTGGACTGTGCAGTACCCCCCCACACACACACCTAATCCCTCTGCCTTAGTGCTTGAATCTAGCCTGAGCTGCACACTGCCACCAGAGAGGCCTTTCTGAGACCAAATCAGCTTAATCAGGTTGGACAGGACCTCCAGAGGCCCTGTAGAAGAAAATCCTAATTTCTTATCATGGCTGGCAAGGACCTTGATGGCCTGACCCGGTCTAGGCTTCCTGTCCCTCTGCCTCCCACCCATACGACATCATACGCAATGCCCTGACCAAACATCCCCTCTCTCATCCCCACCTTTGCCCTTGCAACTTGTGTTCGTCCCTCATCTCAGTCTCCCCTCTGTGCCAGGCTCACACTTGTCCACTGGCCGGGAATGGGGAAATGTGCATAACACATTGTCAGTGTCGGGGGGGGGGAGATGGGCCAAAAGAGATGAGATGGGGATACGCAGCATGGGGTGAGGGGTGATCGTGGATGAGCGAGAGGAAAACACCTGTGTTCTCCCCCTCTCTGTCATCAGCATTACCTTTTTCGGGAAATGAAGGTGTGTGTCTCACGGTATTTTTAAAAAACTTTGGCATCAGTGAATACAACAGATTGCAAGAAGTAGTCACTAGACACAGGAGCCAGCAAGGCAGGAAGAGTTAGGACCCAAATTAAAGTAATGATAGTGAGGCCAGAAGAGGCATGACAGATGTTGAGCGGGACACACTGACAGTCTTGTGGAACCACCTGGCTCTGGGCATCTCTCGCAACTTGTAATGATGTCATTTGACTCCCTCTGTAGTAAGTTCCATGGGGCAGGCATCATGGTTCAACACATGTTCTTCAGGTACCTACCGTGTGTTAGGCACGCTTCTGTATATCAGTATGCAAAGCCAACAAAGATCTCAGCCTTCCTCGAGCTTGAATTCTAATGGGGGAAGAAGACAAAAGGCAATAAACAAAATCATACATAAATTGTATTGGA